CCCCCCCAACTCGTGCTCTGTCTCTCTCTCAAAAATGAATCAACATTTAAAATTTTTTTAATTAATTTAAAATTTTAAAGAATTAAAAATTCAGCTCCTCAGTCACATCTCAAGCTCTCGGCACACGGCAGGGGCTGCATACTGGACAGTGTGGTGTAGAATTTAACCACAAGCTAGTTAGGGAAGGACAGTAACTGAAACAGGAAGTCAAGGAACTGAGAAGTCGGAGAACTGGAAAGATCATCTACTAGAAAGGTCCTGAAGTCTCAAGAATTAAGTCAGAAATCATTTAGGAGAGAATGTTAATGAGCCAGAAGCTAAAACTTCAAGGAATGAGGAAAAGAGACCCAGGAGTTAGTGGGTGGTACGGTCCCAAGACCTGGGATTCCAAGGTGGGAGGTATGTGGGCAAGAAGGTATCCTTGTGACAACAGGGAGCAAGAAGACATCAATGCTCCCCAACAGTATGCTTGAGGCAAAGTGGGGGAGGGGAGCCACCACGTGAGGGCGTTGCAGAGAACAGCCTAGTTTCAATTAGTTCGGGTTGGACCTGACTGGGAATTTTGCAACAGACACCAGTGCCTGATGGGAAGAAAAATGCTGCCGTCAAACCCCTCCCTCTGCCTCCACCACCTTAATTCAGAGTAGTGAAGCCTTTTTTTGTTTGGTTGTTTTTAATATTTATTTATTTTGAAAGAGAGAGAGGGGCGCCTGGGTGGCTCAGTCGGTTAAGCGTCCGACTTCGGCTCAGGTCACAGTCTTGTGGTTTGTGAGTTTGAGCCCCACGTCGGGCTCTGTGCTGACAGCTCATGCTCTCTCTCTCTCAAAAAGAAATAAAAATTAACAAACAAAAATTTTTTTAAAGAGAGAGAGAGAGAGAGAGAGAGAGAGACAGCAGGGGAGGGGCAAGAGAGAGAGGGAGACAGAGAATCCGAAGCAGGTCCCATGCTGTCAGCACAGAGCCCAATGCAGGGCTCAATCCCATGAACTGTGAGATCATGACCTGAGCCAAAATCAAGAGTCGGACACTTAACAGAATGAACCACCCAGGCACCCAGAGTAGTTCAGCTTTTGTTATACATACACTGGGATTGCTTTAGGAGAAAATTTTAAGTTTTCTAAATATTCTCTAGATACTGTAAATCAAAGATTTCATTTCTCTATGTCTTAAAAACTGAAGGGAAAGAGAATCGTTAACCTTTAGTTGCATGGCCATCATGTGCGGAGTTTCATCGTAGTCACCGAAAGTGTTGGGAAGACCTAGGAAAGCAGATTACAAGCGTTATTGAAAATCGCCTTGGGGAGCCTGGGTGGCGCAGTCGGTTACGCGTCCAACTTCAGCCAGGTCACGATCTCGCGGTCCGTGAGTTCGAGCCCCGCGTC